TTCAGGTCTCATTATTTATGAAAAGCTAACATTTTTTTGTAACGCAGCATCGGTGCAGAACGTATTCTTAGTGAATGTGTTCAATTTCGAATTAAATTCTCATGCGAAGGACAAAGAAGGGTATTATTCTGCATTTTATTTACTTGGTATTTTAATTAATTAATTAATTTTGATGAAATTAATTAAATTTGTTGAATATACGATTTATTGTACGTATACAGTTGCTTAAGGTGCTTGGAACGAACGAGAATGTCATACAGCCAGTTGAAGTCCAATCTAGAAACCTTATTAGGGGTGAGTAGACTGAATTTTTCATAATCGATCACGATAAGAATTGAGGGGTCGGGACTAAGTGACAACTTATGTCGGGTCTATGTAATAACATGACTACGTGAACTTACTTCTGATATAGTGTTTGTAACGATTTTACATTGTAGATGGAGAATCGAATCGTACAAGATGATGGGTCAACTCCTAAGCTACCAATCAATGAGGTTAAATGTATTTCCTTATATATATATATAGTCATAATATTGGACTAATAATGTGTAAACAAATTCGCGATTTATTTAATAAAAAAGGCTAATATATGTTTGCAGAAAACGGGTACCAAAGTTGCTCAATATCAATTTGAATATGTTGATTACACTAGCACCTTGATGGATGAGGTATTAATTAATAACTCTAATTTTTTCTTTCTCTAATTAAGATTTTTCTCTCTAATTAAGCTTTATAATCTTGTGTTATATATGTTTGTATGCAATGGAAAACAGTATATTCTGATAACGGAAATCAATCCAAAATATGAAGCTCATAATCTGAATGTTGCACTAAGAGATGTTACGAGACGACTCGATAATTTGGCTGAATTTGTGTAATGTTTCTCTCATTAATTTTGTTACATAATTATCTCTTCTTTCATTACTAAATATTATTTCTTACTAATAATTTATTCTTCTGCATTGAATTTTTGCAGACAAGAGCTAAATGACAATATGAATTTTGATTTTCATATTGACCCGGAAATTGCAAGAACTATGAGGTTTATTAATACTACACTTGATAGTTCCAGGTGATTAATTAGTCTTACTCACTCTCATTTAAAAAAAATAAAAATATAAAATTCAATTTGATAGAGTTGATATTGTATTTGATCTATCGTAAATATATATATATAGAATTAACAAATAAGTGATTATAATTTTATAAATAAAGAAATTACTAGTGATTAATATTCTTGTTATTCTAATTTATTATGGCTTAGATTTTGTGGTTCAAATTATGCAGTGTTGGTGCAGTAGGCTGTATTTCTCTACGTGGTGCATTAAAAAAAGTACGAGATTATTATAAGGAGAGGAATATGGAAAAGTATGCTTTGTATATTATGTAATGTAATTCGTTGTATCAAAATATTATGAAGATTTGATGAAAGTTGTTGAAAATTTACACAATTTTATTATAATAGGTGTTTAGAAAGCATGAATAAAGCAAAGAATGAATTCAACTCACTGAAGAGCAGATTGGAACCCATAATGGAGGTGAGCACAATTATTCAATAATTTCCAAGTTTAGTTAAATTTGTATGTTGATTTTGTGATCAAGTCATTATTCAATGATTATTATTGCATCAAAAAAAAAAATTATTCAATGATTATTATTATGGGTAGTTGCATAATTTATTGATGGATGTTCGAAAAAAAATCGTTACATGTATGAGTTTTATTATGTAAATCAAGTGATCATATATATGAGAGAACAGTTATATCTATGAAGGGTTCTTTCGATTAATTATGTTTAATATTACGTGTGCTTATATAAAATTGGTTGGGACGATGTAACAACTACGAGCTTAATTAATGTGGTGTTTATTTTGTAGATGGAGAAAAAGATCGTAGATGGTGGTGGATCGATTCCTAAGCCTATTGTGAAGGATACAAGAAGAATTGGAGCATTGCATCCTAGTCATGTTTATATCATCGGCGTTGATGTTTCGTGGAATGTTGGAAACTAAAAGAACTAGTTCATATGATTCTTTGTAGGTTGTAGCTTTAATTTCTGTTACTACCTTCTTCTTTTTTTTTTTTTTTTTTTTTTTTTTTTTTTTTTGACAAATTCTAGCTTGTTACATGTATAGTCATTTGATACTTTGCTCTGTGACTAGATTTCGATCATAAAAATGTTGTTTACATATTCTTTTGGTAATGAAACAATTTGGATTTTGGATTAATCTATTTGTAAAAAAATTCTATTTTAATTTGCGTAAGATGTTACGTTCTAAGTAAGACCATGTAGCCTATGTTACTCAAGCTCAGGAACCCGTGTTTAAAGATATGTAACCTCTTTTTCTTTTCTTTCTTTTTTTTTTATTTTATTTTTTATTTTTATATATATATATATATAACGAGAAACTGGTTTATTACTAAGATTGTAATTTTTTTAGGTGTGGTTGAAGGTGTCTAAGTTTAAGGAAAATGGTGATGATGAGAATGATAAGGCCATTTTTAACATATGCTTTGCCTGCTTTTAAAGTTATATTTATACTGAGTATTTCAATATTTGGTATAGGATAATTCCGTTCTTGCGAGACAGAACTTGTTCGGTTCAACTTAAATTCAGTTCAGTGTCTAATTTTTTTTTCTCTCATAAATAACTAAGTACTCTGTATGAGCTATTTGGCAAAAAAAAATTTCTTTGAAAGGCGAGCTATATGACAAGTTGAATGTGTTGATTCCAATAAATAATGAAAATTTTGTAGTTATCGATTGAAATATTACTCCCTCCGTTTTTAAATACTTGCTCCACTTTCCTCTTTCCGCCGTTTTTAAATACTTGCTCCATTTCCTTATTTTTTTTTTGACAAGAAAAAAAAAATTACAATATTTAATTGATTTCTCTGACCTAGTGAATTCAATATAAATCATATTTTATTAATTTCATATTCTCTCTCCTCTAATTTTCTTCACTACTTTAGATTTTTATAATTTTTTAATTCTTCCACCTAACCCACTACTTCAATATTTTATTACTTACTCTAATTTCTCCTAATACTCCGCGCATGAAGAAATTGAGTAAGAATTTAAAAACGGAGGGAGTATATAACTATCATGATTGACCTGTTTTTCTTCAAGTAATAAGAATATAAGAGTATAGGTATAATTTTGATATAACATAGTAATTTTGATATAAGAGTATAACTCTAAACAAGAAACCTAATACTACTATAATTAGGGTTTCAGAACGTGTTAGTTTAACATAAAGCTCTCTCTATATATTGGTACACTGTATATTAACTGTAGGTTATACACTTGTACACAACACAAAACCCTTTGATTCAATTTATCACCTTCAAATTCTTAATCAATGGCGGAAGCATTAGTGGATTTAGCGATGGATTTGTGGACGGAGATCTTAGCAAGGCTGCCGGCGAAAAAGCCTAATGAGATTCAGATGTGTTTGTAAAAGCTGGTGTTCATTGATTGATTCCTCGGATTTCATTGTTACTCATCTTCACATTTACAACAAGAAACGCAAGTCTTTGATAGCCAAAAAGGAGACTGAATTTACCCTTTATAGTATCGACGCATTCAAGAAAATTGATAAAGTTTTCAGCACTCAAAAGGATCATTGCAATTCATACAACAATTGTTTTGGACTGATTTTGTTACAAGAAACTGAAGATGAGTTCGTATTTTACAATCCTTGTATTCGAAAATCGTTGGTAATTCCACCTTGTCCTTTTATTTCGATGGGATATACCATACTTTATTACCCCGGTTTTGCTTCGTCTACTAATGATCATAAGATAGTTGCTTTTGGGTGTCGATGGAATTCCGAGGTTTCGATTGCAGTTTATTCATTAAATGATCGCCTTTGGAGGATCAAAGATGGGTTATTTGATGAAGCTCACATTCGAAGATATGGGTGTACTTATTATTCCAAGAGTGCTACCCACTGGTTAGGATTTGATCAGGATTATTCTAAACCACCCGTATCAAGGATTCATCTTGTATCGTTCGATTTTGATTCCGAGGAATTTAGCATTACGGATTTCCCTGATGCTCTTAAACAAAAAGATAGCCTTAAATTTCTGTTCACCCTCGGTGAGTCAATTGCAGCTTTTAGTGTATGTTCAATGCGAATCTGCATATGGGTTTTGGTCAAGGATGGCGGAGATAGATCATGGCGATTGTGGTATACCGGAGATACAAATTTAGAGGCTGATCAGTTTCTTACAAGAAGTTTTTTTATGGAGATTTTCAATGCTGAGAAGAATACATTTTTGGTACTTAAAAAGGGTAAAGTGTATTCATATAATTTTAGAACTCATCAGATACAACATTTGGAAAATTATACTGATCATAACAGTAAATCTTCTGAAGTTTATGTGGAAAACTTAGTATTGCACAAACGAAGCCAAGGGAAGATTTGGACTGATGAATTCAGAACAGTACAAGATTGTCAATTTTGAGGACTGAAGTTTATTATACATTGATTCCGGGTGTATATGAAAGGTGTTTGTTTATTTTTCCCTTCTGCGTACTCCGTCTCAGTTTTATTTTGTACTCGTACTTGAATATTACCATTGAGGATCAATCTAACTAGAAAGATAATTATCTAAAAACTTTAAAAGCTTATATAGAACGGCAAGAATTTGACAATTAGCTCGCTATTAGAGTTGGCGAGTTGCTCTTAGACACGTAGAACGTCAGCCTTATATGCAACGGAGTATAATGCTTTTGAATTTTGATGTATTGGAAACATTCAAGGATATACCATTCAAAGAAAGACTATCTATCTACCTACCTATAAGTATAAACATTTTATTTTTAAAAATACATAAATTAAAAAAATTACTACTATTATATGTTTATATACATGTAGATAAATATGAACTCTTGAAGACAGTCACATCTATAATTTTATGATAATTTAAAGTTTTTAACTGTATATATGCTTGAATAGGAATCAATGTAAATTTACGAGAATTGCAAATGTAAACCTTAAGAGAATAAAGAAGCTATTCATGTGAGATACAACTTAGATCCAATCGGCAATCGTATGATTTACATGGTCTTAGGGTTCTAATTTTTCCCATAACATACACATGCTCCATAAACAGATAGAAGTACAATATGATTAATGAACACAGCAGTACAAGTCAGATGACAATCGCGGTAAAAGAATGCAACACAGTGAAAAATATCGTATTACCCTCTTGCTATAATACAATACAAGCAAGTTCCAGTAAAAATTTCTATCACAAGTGCAATTTTCAGAAGCTGTGGTGTATCTATAATTGGATTGTTATGGCAGGTAGCTTTACACTTTCTTTTTTTTCTTTTAATTTTTTAATGTAAATGATTTCATGTAACACTTTGGTCTAAAGAAGAGATGGCTGATCCTAGAGCTCAGTCGGGATTGAGTTTTAATATGAGGTCTTTACCTTCAAAGAGAGCCTAAATAGTCCTTCAGTATATTTATGATAGGATTTGCATTCGATGCTTCGCCCAGTTTCTCAAAGATGATCCCATCCATTCTTGCCTGGATTCCCTCCATAGATGTCAACTCTTCAAGTAGTATTTTTAGAGTTCTGTCCACCCCAACAATAGTACCCCCTATGCCACTCAAAATCTCTGGCAACGAAGGGGATGGTCTTGACACTTCAACCAGTGTCACCTGCATCATTATCAGCATAAACAATGAGACGGGCACAGAATAAAGAGTTCACAAAAAGTGTCATCATGAAGAACTTTTAGAGACGGAGTAATTGGTATTTGGAAGCACATTATCATTTGGTTGTGGTTGACCTACAAATAGGACTGGTGGTCTGCCAAGCTTACAAGCCTTACTTCCCTAGAGTACGGCCACATCTTTGACAAAAATGTCTTCCTCAAATTTGAGTGACATTTAACTTGGGCACTAGCCACCTACTATTGCAATTCAAGACATTGTACTATTGTAGCCATGGTCCATAAAGATGTGGTATTTCAATAAATGCAGTGTTATTCAATAATACATGGGCATTATCTCAACAAGGCATCAACAAAGCATACCTATCACACGAGTGAGAATTAACAGAGATGGCAATAATTAAGAACTATGAAAGAAATTTTGAATGCAAAAGGCAGAAAAGTGCCACAGCACAATAGAAAGAAAGAGTTGGGAGTAAAATTAACACCAAACATTAGAGAGGTATGAGCCATAAAATAGAAAGGAAATACCGGTTGCTCTTGGGGAATGTTAGCCTTTTGCTTTGCTATGGCAACTGCACGGCCCATTCCACCTAAAGCATCAACAAGTCCTCGAGAAGCAGCATCACTTCCGGTCCAGACTCTTCCTTGTGCATTTTCTTCCATCTTATCTACCTATACATAAATGAAATAAATCAATCAATAATCTGTATTGATAGTGTAAAATTCAAATAATTCATGTTAAAATAAAAATAAAATAAAATAAAAGGTTAGTAATAGAAAAATTACAGGCATTGATCTTGAATAGGCTGCTTTATCTCGAAATTGTGTATAAGCATGCTGGGCAGACTTTGCAAAAAGCTCTGCTTCTTCCGGCCTATAACAAATTTGCATTTAGAATGAGAAACAAATCAAATGTTACTAAGATTGTAGCTATCAGTGAAAGTTTGCTCTTTGATGCTAAATGAGGGAAGATCTAAAATTAATTTACCCTTAACATAGCAAAAATTCACTTTTGAATTTTTGAGAACCCAACAATCTGAAGATTAATTGTCAAAGTTATTGACTTCTATTGCCAAGAGTGTTTTTTTTTTTTTTTCGGGAATTTTTACAAAACCTTGTCATTCATCAGATAATATGCCCCGAAGTATAAATAATGTATTTTATCATGGAATTATCTGCAAGCACTTATATGCAAAACATATATCTTGTAAAGTTGTAAATGATCATATCAGATGTAAAATAAAATCTGTCATTATTCTAGCGAGTACTTTTGTAGCATGATGTAGAGCACAAAGTACATGCTAGTTCCTACTTCCTAGTGATCTGTAGACGTAGTTCATTTTAGGAAACCTTGCCCAAGCATGCAAGACAAGAACTTTCACCTGAAAGATCGCTGCTCTGCCGCAGTGAGCTCAGCAAACTTTCCCCTTGATATGATCTCCTTATTGAATCCAATCTTTTCATACAGCTTTCCCAAATTGAACTTCCCTATCAAACAAAACTACATTATTAGGTGCATTTCATGTTACAGCTAAGGACACATTGAGTAATTATCTAAGTGTGCTATAGATTCTAGCATCTATCAGCTCAAGCATCACATGAACATTTGATTTGATCCATAAGATATGTTCACTGCTGTGAAACAACAACAAAAAAATAAAAAATAAATAATAATAATAATAATAATAATAATAATAATAATAATAATAATAAATAATTCATTGCATTTATTTTATTTTTGTTTTGTTCAGGAGCAAATAGATACAGTTCAAAACTCATTCTTCAGAAAAGAGAAGTATAAGCATGAAGAAGTTAAAGCAAAACATAAATTTATCACTCACAAGCCTAACCAATGAATTGCCAAATTTTTCCTTTTTTTTTATATATTTGAAACAACCAATGAATTGCCTAATGGTTATTAATCATTATAGCCTTTTCAGCTAAAATTATGCACAATATTAGATGATAGAAATGTTGCAAAGCTTATATATTGGATCCATGACATTAAGTCTCAGCTGCATTGTGAAGGATTTTGAGCTTGCCAAAACCGAAATATTAGGCCGCAATAGCCGCATTGCCTGTGAAAGTGGTTACGTGACCGTTACCACAATCGCAACCGCATCCGAGATTTAAAGCCATGATTGAATCTGGAATCTATATATTATTAGCAAAGGCAAAAGAAGAAATCAAAGGGTGAGACTTGGTGTTGTAAATTATCCCATTTTGGCATAGAGTACTCTGGTTCAGATCCATGAGACCCACCTTTCCAAGAAAGTAAAGATTATGCCCTTTCTTTGTGAAGCAAGAAGAAGAAGGTCAATACCAGAAGAAAAGAAAGGTCAAGTCAGCTGTACAATTATACAATGTGATGGTCATCAACCTCCTAACTCCCAATAATTCTGTACCAATTCTATGCAACTTACAATGCATCATTTACTATTTAGGACTACTCCACATACTATGTCAGGCCACTAAGGAATTGCTTCCTCCTATTTCAAATATATCACTAAAAAATCAGCTGCAACAAGTACAGTGTTGAAGGGAGTAACTTGCGGTGATCCCCAGTGCATAAAGGATTAACTGAGTATTGAACTATCAACTACTGATGAGACACGTTGATACAGGAGTCATTTACTGAAGCCTATTGATGGGACAAGTGATACAAAAGTCTAACCTGTGACAACTCCAATTGAACCAGTCAAAGTAAGATTTTCTGCAACTATAGTCACTGCTCCCATCGCCATGTAATATCCCCCACTAGCTGCAACATCACCCATTGATGCAATAACAGGTTTTTCGGCAGCCAAAAGTCTTATCTCCCGCCACATCCTGACATATTTGACAAGTGATTATCCATTAATGCCACGTAAAACTGTGATCATATTAATATATATTATTTTCTGGGCCTTTTTTCATATGAAAATTTATTCATGATTAAGGTCATAATATTGTTAAAGTCTGCAGTGTCAAAGCAGTATGTCGCATCTGTTACATCACACTTCACCACTATCTAGAAATGAATTGACAAACCAAATCATCCTCTTCAACTTCAGAATTTTAATAGTTTTGGTATCCATTTTTTAGATTATACTTTAAACTTTACATATTGTCATTGTGGAACTCCTTCCATGAGTTCCATCTAAATAGAAACTTGCATGTTTTTTCAACTATTTAGATAATTTCATATTGTCGTTCAATGAAAAAAATTCAACCTCTAACTGTTTTTTTCCAACATTTTAAGGAACCATATAAAGCGTGCCTGTGTCTTCAATCTACCAACTTGATTTGTGTGTTAAAACAATAAATGTTGAATGTCATTTTCCCTGTGGCTCTCTTTACACCAAAAAATAAAAATAAAATGAAAAAAACAGCAATGATGCCAACTTCCTAGGTGATAAGCTAAGAAATATTCATCACTTCATCTGGCATCACAGTACATTATACAGCAAAAGATTTTTCCAAGAGGCCAACTATGCATACATTCACTAGAAATTATGATGACCTAACCCTGGTTTCCTACGTTGCTCAGACATGGCATGTCCGACACGGTTATGTACAGTGAAAAGAAGATGCTGATTAACATAGCTGGCTTCTAGTGTGATACATATGGGTAATTAAGAATCCAAGAGTAAACAAAAGAAAAAAAAAAAGTGAATTAAAATATAACCATGCATTCAATATACTGTATGTAAGAAATAGGATACACTTACAGATCTGAAGCAAGAGCATCACCTCCAGGACTGTCAATTCGAATTATTGCAGCTTTATATCTTTTGGATTCTGGACAGAATTCCAACATTAATACAAACAAACAAACTGGTCATTCTTGAGAAAAAAAATTAACAATTACTTTGTAGAAATTTAGAGGACATCATCACACTACTAAGGATACAACTAATCTTACAGCCATGTTAGGCTATATTCAGTTCATCACCAGCACTGCTTCCTGGACATTTGCTAACTTATCAATAAGGAAAAAACTATATAAGGTATGACAGATTGATAGATGAAAGCTTAATTTTTATCTTCTGGAACACTACCTATTCTGATTTATGCAACAATTACAAAAGTAAACCCATTGAAGAAATTCAATAATGCATACTTGATACGGATAAACAAATCAGACAAAGAATATAAGACATACCTCTTACACTACGTATTTTCTCGATTAGCTGTTCTGCAACTATGCCTGATGTAGACGAACTTAAAGGGCCACGAACACGACTGATGCTTCCAGAGGCTCTTATGACTGCAATCCTCTCTTTTCCTCCAGATAATTCCAGGGTCCATTTTTTCACTCCAGAGTATCGTCTGTAAATGCACGGTTGTCATAGATTTTATTCCAAATGTCCTACATAGATCACTGGAAAATATAGAGGTCTAATCTCCCCTTTTGCACTTTCACAATATTTGACTTTTTAAGACAGCAATAATTCATGAAAAAGGTAAAAACCAGTTGACTTCCAGAAAAGCCATGCTTCATAGAGAAACAAGAATAACATTTGATATCCTTATAGCAGACAAGCACCAAATTCACATAATTCTCTAGTACAGCCAATAAGCCAACAATAATTATAAGTAACACTGATAAATTGAGATAAGCAGAACAATTATGGTGAAATGCCATTCAGTATGTTTAGATGCACTTCAGCCCATTCTAACAGTTTAATTTCTGAATAAAACAACCTAAATATCATATCGAAATAACAAAATATTGTACCAATTTAGTCAACTGTACCAATTCTTTGTAGTAATTTCACAAGAAAATAATGGTAAACTGACAATAAAATCTTGGATTTGGCTGATTTAAATCCCTACATGTTTGATGTTTATGATAGATACAAGACTAATCAGTAATTTCATTTGCATATAAAACTGGGTACGAATGTAATTTTATTTATAACTAGATTAGGTTCGTGCGATGCACGGTTTTAACATCATTTTTAACAATATTTTTTAGCTTATTTGTGTGTAATATGTACGTAGTACAAATGATTTAAGCAAAATCTAATATATTGATAAATTAATAAAAAGTGGAACCCCAATTCATATAATATGTATAAAATATACGGAGTAGGAGAAAAAGAATGTTTATAAGAAAATAAATAGTACAACCTTCCTTTAGTTTCTCTAATGGAAATTGCATAATTAGTCAATTTAAATACCACCTCCGACTTTTTTAGTTGCAACTTTGAGGTATTATTTGAGAGATAAAATTATTCCAAAGTTGCAACTAAAAAATCGGAGGTAGAATAAAATCTGTTAGGAAAATGTATAATTAATTTAACATTTTCAAATTTTTATTTATGTTGAAAAAAAAATGATGTCATAATTAGTTTTGGTGGAAAAAAATTTTATAAGAGGTTGACATGTGGAAAATAATGATATCAGCGGTAATTACTTTAGTTATATTATAGACTATAGTCTATGACCATAACTCAGCTACCCTCGGAGAGGTAATTGTAATAGCTCAATAGTACTGCTCATAATATGAGTGATGCTTGGCTATGTGGTGATGATTCTAATTGTATAATGGATGTTAATGAAAAAATTAGTTGCATTATTGTTACAGAACACTTACATAATGAAGCAGGGATACAATTTCTTGAGTGATCAAATTCCTTCTCAACAATGAACTAAGACCCTATTCTTTTGGATTGACTGAATGTGAATGGAGGGACTAAACTAAGCTGTAATACTGAGAGGAAGCTGGTTAAAATAAGATTTAACTAGAAAGCTGAAAAAAATATTTTTTAAAAGAACATGGACCAAGTGGGTTTGGAATAGGTTAAGCATTCCAAAACATAAAATCACTTTCAGGTTGTTATGGCTGCAAAGATTGAGCACTAAGGTCAGCCTAGCAATTATAGCATCTGTGATGATCTTTGTCCTCTTTGTGGCATATGTTTGAAGACTAAGGTATATCTGTTTTACCAGTGGCAGTTTTGCTTGAATTGACACATAGGAACTGGAGGGGAAATAATCTATGCAAATTATACATCTAAGTTAGCTCAAGCTTCAAAGGGACAAATTTTTAAAGGAAACTTTATAATGCTCTTACAGCAGCAAGTGTGTAATGTATTTGGAAGGTAAGAATTGGAGCTGTTTGGGGGAATTGTGTGCGAAGACCTAAGAAGGCAAACAGAGGCTTGATCAATTGTAAATAACTTGAGATCGAGATGTGCCTTTATGTTATCCTTCCTAGTAATCTAAGTAATTAACTAGGTAAGATAAACAGTGGCTTAATCAGGTAAATAGCTTGTGCTGATACTAGCTAGTGTTTGTAATTGTTGTGAGAGAGAAGGGAAGTCCATGTCCATCCCATTTGACTTTGTAAATGGTAGCTTGGTTTTGAGGTGATCAAGTACAATAACTATCTTACCCTCCCAAAAAAA